ACTGAAAGTTTTTTTTAACTGCAGTTATGTACTAAATTATAATAAGGGGAAAATGATAAAATATTCTAATTCTTTTATCAAAGTGGTACAAATAAGATGGATGCATCAACTCTACGATATATTTTATTCTTTCAAATGTTTAATACAAATAAAACCTTAGACTTAAAAAATCTTTTTAGAACTAGAAGGTCAAAAATATAATATTCCTGCTATCAAAATGTAATGCTTTAAAAAAATTTTAAAGACATTTTTCCAAGAAAAATACTTACTTGAATTGCAGGCTGCATGGTCATCTATATGGAAATGAAACAGCTATTCTGAAAACAGAACAAACATTAATACAGATGATGGCAGCTTTCCCACTTCCCAAAATCCCCAAATCACAAGATTTTAAAATGTGTTTTTCTCTTATTTGACCAAAAACATTCTCTTCCTGTTGGAATAGTTTGACTATAAAAGAACTCAGTAATGACTCCCTGCTTCTTACTTCCTAAGGATGCTTCTCACTTGAAAGAGGAAAACCTGAAACATACTTTAATATGTTGTTTCTGGCACTAGTACCAAAGAATTAATGAAGCATCTGTCCAGTAACATAAAATTAACAATAAGACTTTGCTTATGTAAAAGTCTCCCAGAATTTCATTTTCCCTGTAAATATAAGATAAATATAAAAATCATAATACCAATACTGAAATTCAAGCATCTTTCAACTGATTTTCATAGGGATCATTTAAGATCATCTGGACTTTAATATAAATTCACAAGCTTAACCATAAGCTTTTTCTGCTAGACAACAAGGTAATAAAGATAACTATCAATTTTAACTATGAAACAAAAATACTCAATTCCTTCCTGTAAAAAAAATTCAAGACAAATAAAAGAAATAACAATTTTAGTTTCAAAGTACAATTCTTGAAATCTACAGAAAAAAAGAAAAACTTTAATTAGTTAAATTAGGTTAATGTAATTGTTAATATATTTTCAGGAGAAAAGTGAAAAGCTTAAAAATGTTCAGAATAATACATACTGTATAAAAACCCAGGATTATTGGTTGCTTATAGCAAACATAATAAGCTAGTCTACTTTTCATTCTACTAAAACATATTAGGGAAAATAATATATAAAACCATTTATAAGACCAAATACTTTCAATTTTCAAGGAAAAGTTATTTTCTCCTCTAAGTCATATCAAATATACCTCATGCACACTGCCAACTATACATACCACTTTCCTTTCAGGAACATTTCTTCTGATACCAAAGTTGAACCTGAGCTAAACCTAACTGAAGAGTCTAATACTGTAACACATTTTCTTTGTGGGAAGGCAAAAGACAACAGAATGTCCTTTTTGATGTCATTTTCCTTCTCTCTACCACAGCAAAAGGCCAAAGAACAAGTGAGCATTACTAATGAGCTTGTTATGCTTCCCACGAGCTAATTCAGTGGGGAATACATTTTCCTTTAGCATAAATAATCCTTTGTCCCCAACAAAGATCCACAGTAAGAAGCTTCCGAGACGATTTTTTAAAAACGCAGCAAAGAAGCTGTTCCCATTAAAATGGAGTTCCACATAATCAGACAAGAGCTTTAACAGTTGGAACTGCCAACCCAAAACAAAAGAGAGTCTAAATTATAAGGCGTGTGCAAATCAAGAACAGTGACACATTCACAAAGGAGCTATCAGAAGAATGTTTAGTAGTTGCATTTTATGAAAAAATTCAACAAAATTAGTTTTATGAAAGAAATGAAGAATTTGTACACAATATTCAGTTACTTGAACTTTAGCAAAATCATATATATATATATATATATATATATATATATATATATATATATAAATCATTCTTGTGTAATAGAATAAAGAAATAATAATCTGATTAGCATCAAAAATAAATTATTTAACAAAATAGTACTCACATAAATTGTAATGTATCCTCATAAATGAAAAGCTACTATGTATATCAATATATGCTTTTATTGAAAAACTTTTATAAACTGTCAAGATTCAGTCATTACTTAATGAGTACTATGTTCCAAAGTACACAAAGAGCCAGTTTTTAATATTTTATAGTCATCCTTTATTCTCTTTCTAAATCTTTTTTGTGTCCCTGCATTGAATCCTGAGAGTAGCTCCTTGGTTAGCCCTAGTCCCCACTTTGCATCATAGCCTCAACTCCAGCTTTTCACTCATTACTTATTTTATCTTTCCTTAAAAGTTCTAGTCTTATTTTTTTTTCATATAAACCAATTATACTGAACCAGTAATACGTAATATTTCCTTTTTGAAGCTGAATTTTTTTGAAGCTGAATCTTAACTAGCACTTTACTTTGCTTTTGTTTTTGTCTTTTAGGAAAAGTCTACTTCAATTCTTTGCCAACCTAAGGAAGTTGTTCCCCTTAGATTGGGGGTCAGGGGAGGAATCTCATGTGACCAAGTCCAAACTACACTCTAAACCTATTGGGAATCTTCCACAATACAAAAATATATGTATAGATCATAAGTTAAGGATACTAAGCTTTTAAAATCCAGGAAAATGTGAGAAACATAGAACAGGCCCATCTACCTTAGATTTGACTTGAATTAGGGCCTAACCCACTGATCCTAAAAAGTGTCAGTCATGAGACCCTAAAGATTACAAGTCTTCTGGTTTGGTCATGTTTGATTTGAGAAGCCTTTAAAGACATTCAAGTAGAAATGTCAGGTAGGCAGCTAGAAATACTAGGACTAAAAGTTCAGGAAGAGATTGACAGCAAATACTTGGGAAGTAAAGCCATTGGAAGGAATAGCATTTTCTGATGAGAATGGAAAAGAAAGTGAAAAGGGTCTAAGTACAAATGCAATAAGGCTCTACATTACAATCTGACTTCAGATCATGGGGAAAAAAGACAACCTGTGGAGCTGATCCTGGAACCCTTGGCAGTAGGCTCTGAAGCTGAGCACTTTTCCATTCCTTTCCCACATTATAAAATATGATGAGAAGAGATAAGTGTCATGACTCAGATCTGATACAAATCTGGGCTCAACCAGGAATGGCAAAAAAGCAGACCAAAGTTAAATTTCTTCAGGAAAAAAAAAAATGCTAATAACATTAATTGCTACTGACCCACATATTCATTCGTCACTCTGTCACCAGATTATTGCCAAGATACATAAACTGCAAGGACATGATAAATGACAAAGTTGGGACAGTGGTTACTACTGAGGGTGGGGGAGGAGACTGGGGAGGAATGCACAAGGGCCTTTCAACTGAACCAGAAATGTTTTATTTCAAGATAAGTGGTAAGGAAACAGGTATTTTTACACTAGTCTGTATGTATGTATTCAAAAAATGTTTCATCATTTTTAATGCTTCATTTAGAAAAACAGTCAAAGAATATATCCTTTATGATTTATTCAGAAGTTGAAAACATTTCCCAGCTTTGAATTTTTGAGTTAAATATTTCTTATTTGTCTGATCCAGAAAATAGAAATGCCATATCTATACCAAAATATTTCACAGGGCTAGAGGTGTTGATCAGTGGTAGAATGCTTGCCTGGCATGTGTAAGGCCCTAGGTTCAAGTCCCAGCATGCCCCCCCCCAAACATACACACACACACAATGTGTATTAATATGTCTTATCATAAAGACAGCACAGCACTGTTGCAGTAGAAAGTATTAGATTTATCTGTCTTGAATTCCAGCTACACCATATATATATACTAGCTATAAGACCTTGGGATAGGGTAGTTAATTTCTTGGTGCCTCAGTGTTCTCATCTGAAAAATAGTAAATTACCATCTCCTTCAAATGACTGCTGTAAAAATTAAGATGATAAATACAGAGTACTTGACACATAGCTAGCATTTAACAAATGAAGAGTTATTAATTTTATGATGAGACATAATTATAGTTCATTTAATACAATTTATCAAATTAAAAAGATAAAATAAGGCTAATAATATTCAAACATTAACGATAATTTGGAAAATTTCTTTTACTAACATAAATATGGTTATAAGTAAAAGCAAAAGTTTTATAATATCCATGTCATTACTAGAAGTCAGAATTTGTGACTAAGATCCTCTTTGCTAGAATGACTCTTCAGGATTTTTTTTTTTTTTTACATAGGGCCTTTGTCTCAATAATTTACTCATGCCCTTTATTGAACTAGGCACTATAGGTAAGAAAGGCAGTGGTGAACACAACAGCCATGTTACTGCCAAAATGAAAGTAATAAACCAGTTGGAAAGTCTGAAAATAGCAAATACACAACTGAATACACAATATTAAATCATGGTAATTGCTTTGGAGGAAAGAACAGAATCCTCTAAGAGAGATAAACATCAGGGGCCTACTTGAGATTAAATTGAATGAAATTATTTTGCTAGAGGAAAAGCTTGAATTGAAGAATGGTAGGAATTAGCCAGAGGAAGAAAGGAAGAGGAATTATGTACATAGAGAATGACTTTTGCAAAGGCTTTGAACAGAGAAAGTCTGATGCATTTCAAGAACCGAAAGAAGTAAGTGGAGCTAAAGCATGGAGAATCTGTGGCTTGGGAGAAAGGGTTGGAGAGTTAGGCAGTGGCCAAATCACAGGAGGCCAAGTTGAAGAAATTAAATTTTATTCTGAATGCAGTGGAAAACTGCTGAAGGGTTTTAACAAAGTAGTGGTGACAAGATCTCACTCATAGTTTTAAAATAGCTCTCTAAGAAGACAAATATAAGTGAAATAGTGATGAGTTTCACAGAGAAAAGGGGAAACAAGAAGGAAGGTGGCTATAAAGGAAAAAAAAAGGGCTAAGGAAAAAGAACTAAAGAAACAATGAGAGAGAAAAAGGGGGGGGGGGGGTAAAAACAGAGCAAAAGCAACAGAACCTAGAGAAAATGAGATGGAAAATAACCTGAAGTGGGGAAGAGTTAGAATCCACTGCAGTAGTTTAATGACAAATGATGGTGACTGGGTTAGAATCTGACAGTGTCTCCAAAAGAATGGTTTGATAGATGCCACAATTTGGACTTGGAATCTTCTGATTTGGTCATGTTTTATTTGAGAAGCCTTTAAAGACATTCAAGTAGAAATGTCAGGTAGGCAACTAGAAATACTAGGACTAAAAAGTTCAGGAAGAGAAATTGACAGCAAATATTTGGGAAGTAAAGCCATTGGAAGGAATAGCATTTTCTGATGAGAATGGAAAAGAAAGTGAAAAGGGTCTAAGAACAAGATCTGTGAAAATCCGATATTTTACACGAGAGAACTCAGCAAAGGATATAGAAGGAATAGTCAAAGAGATGCCTTATCTTTTCAACTAAC